CGTACAAGACGTACAGGTTCCCGTACAGGTTCCCGTACAGATCCCGTACAGAAATAACCTGTACGTTTCGTACGGGAAGCCCCCGTACGTGTACTCTATGCAACGTAGCACCGCCTCTTCTTGGGACTTCCTCAACGTCGGAATTTCATTCTCCAGACTCTCCATCTGCTGACACGCTCTCATGGCAGAATCCATCTTTTGCTTCATCACTTCCTGCTCATGCATCATGCGAGCCAAGAAAGCATCGTCCCCTCCCGCCACTCTGCTGATAGATGCTCCCTGCGTGTTCCTTATTTGCAGCGATTCGTAACTTGCAAATTTGAAGAGCCACATACAGCTTCAAACTTCGCGTTCCATGCGTCGTTCAGTTGCTTCTGGGAATCTCCCCTTTCTTTCTTCTCTTTCAACCTCCTCTCTTCCTCTTCTAGCGCTCTCTTCTTCTTTTCTCCTTCTTGTTGCTTTGCCAATACCTTAGCCATCTCTGAGCCGTACCAGCTCTTCAGCAGCACCACTGTTTCTTCTAAAGCTGCCACTCGCTGATTTGTGTTAAACCAACCGCTTCCCTTTCCATACTGTCCACCAGAACTTGCGACAGCAGTACTAACAGATGAGACATTGTGAACTTAACTCGAAGACGAGGGAATAGGTGGAGGAGTTGGGGGGGGGTAGGGGTGGAGGTATAGATGGAGAGGCAGAAGTTGCAGGTAGAGCCAGAATAGGGGCCGCTTGAGAAGATACCGGCGCCGAACTACTTCCTTGTCTAGGATGAGGACACCATCTCGCGACATGATTGGGATCCCCACAATTGTAACAGGTCCGTACACTAGCGGAGACAGGGATGTTCGCCATCGTAGCACTTTAACGACCGACTAGATTAACGAAGCTACCCTCCCAGTAGTCTGACTCCTACGGTGGTTACTCCGAAAGTCAAAGTGAAGCATTCAGCGCAGCGACAACGATTCTGACTCCAAGCAGTGATTGACCGCTCCAGTGAAGGACCACAGACAACGCCGAGGAGGTTAACCCCAGAAAAAGCACACAGCAGAAATAGGGCCTCGTTAGACCCTCCTTGAAAAATCCTCAGGAATTAGGACGAAGTCCTTGGAAAATTTCAAGGAATCCGGCGGCGGCGTTACGCCGCGTCCTGAACGAAAGGGTCCCAAGGAAAACCTTGGAGGTATCCCGCAGCCAATTTCATATGCATATACGAGGCCGCGGGGGATGATGTTCGTCGTCGTCAAGGGATGCCCGTTCGTCGTCAGGTGTGGTCCACTGGCGGCGCAAGGAGGCCTGCGATGCTGCGCTGCGAAAAGAGGCGTGAAGGTTCCTTTTCGAAATTCGAATTTCAAACCGTCATTACATACGCACCGGCGCGCCGTGGCGTTACCACCCTTGGAGCTACCAGTGTGCGTAACGTGTGCGCGGACGATTTGCGGTGCCCATCGCTGTTGGCGACTCGTTCATCCGATCGTCAGCCGGCGCGACGCGAAAGGTGACGACGTTGGAGCGCGTGAAGTGGTGCGTGTCCCACTTTCCTCTTCCTGCAGACGGAGACGATCCGGTGGTTCGCCATAGCTTCGCGCGCCCGTGATTCGTGTACGAGGAGCTTCCCTCGACCACTCCAACGTCTGCTGGGACAGTGTGCGACGAGGGTCCAGTCGTCCGTCTGTTGTGCGTGTTCAACAAGGCGCCGTTGGAGCATCGTGATGGAACACGTGTCGCAGGAGGTTCGTGGCAAGACCTTGAGCAGGGTGGAGAGAAATGCAGTGGTTCAAGCAGTGTCGGTGGTGGCCATGCGATGTCGCATCGAGAGAACGACGGCGCGGTTGAGGACGAGAGTGTCTATTCGCAGGCAGCGTGAGCTCCTCCAGCACGTGACGGCGACGCCAGACTGCGTGTCCATGTCCGAATCCATTATCCAGTTGTGCGCCGCCATGTCATCTGGGGTGATACCGCGGGCGACTCCAAGGTGGTGGATGAGGAAAAGGACGGGTGGCACGTGGGAGGATCTGCGGAAGATGGACGACGCCTCAGACGAGTACTACAAGGAAAAGTTGAGGATGTCCCCCAGGGTGTTCATGGAGATCGTGGAGGCGTTGTCCCCTCTTCCGCAGCGGCGGGTGACATTCTACAGGGTTCCTTTGCAGCCGGATCACACCATCGCATATGCGTTGTACCGATGGGCGAGCGGGGAGACGTACGAGAGCAGTACGTCGTCATTCGAAATAGGGCGCGCATCCGGGTTGATCGCAGTGGAGGACGTTACGAGGGCGCTCCTGACGGTGTACAGTGACAAGATCATTTGGCCTACTGGGATGCGTTGTACGCTCGTTCTGCGTGCTTTCGAGGCGAAGGGCTTTCCCAACTGCTATGGCTGCATAGACTGCACGCACGTTTACGTCCACAAACAGGCGAACGCTCCTTCGGAGAACTACTTCGACCGGAAGCATCGTTTCTCCGTTGCAGCGCAGGTGGTGGTGGACCTGGACTTGCGCATCACGGACGTTTTCGTCGGTTACCCAGGGAGCTGCCATGACATTCGGGTGCTTCAGCTCTCCAGTCTGTGGGCGCGTGCGGAGGAGGGGGATCTTTTCCGTGGAGCTCCTGTTGTGCTGCCGTTCGGAGTGAGGACACACGGTTACATTCTGGGCGACAACAGGTATCCGCCGCTGGAGTGGATTGTCGTGCCGTACGGGGGGACCGATCAAATCCCCGACGAGGAGAGGTTCGACAACAAGCAAAAGGTCGTCAGGGGAGTCGTGGAAAGAGCTTTCGGGAGATTGAAAGGGATGTGGAGGCTGTTCCTCTGCACACACAAGATGAATATGGACACTCACCCACAACAGTTACAGGCCGTGTGCATTCTGCACAACATCCTCCTTGACGCTGGCATTGAGTTCGACGAGAACTTGCTGTGGGAGGTGGATGCTAATGGCGTGCGGTGGCGAGTGGACTTGGGGTTGGATCGTCCACCCCACCCCATTGCTGAGAACTTCAATCGGCCCCGTGCGTTGGCGCTACACGAGGTGTTGGCGGAGCGGATGAAACACGCGTCGACGGCACGTGGCTCTGCCGTCCTTGTGGAGGTCGTGCTGGGGTCATCGTCCAACAGAGGCGTTCTGTGTTATGTCGCTGTCGCAGGCGTGTGTCGTGCCCTGGGGTGTTGTGTACGTTCACTGCGGGTTGTCATTACTCGCTAATGTCGCGGAGCCGTCGGCGGAGATGCTGTTCATCCACAGTTCTTTTCCTTTTTTTTTTTTAACAATTTTGTAGTAGGTTGTTAACGCTCGGTGATGCAGTTTGTTGTGATTGAGTGCGCGCAGCTGCGCGATTTCGATTCCGAAGAAGACGGTGTCTATCGGTGGGGTGATCTATCCGGAGGTGACTCGTTATTGTTCTCCTTTTTTCAAATGTGTACCGTAGACCGAAGTTCCGGCTGCGTGTGTGCGGCTATCGGTGCTCTCTGACGATGGTGTGGTTTCGTGTATGTGATTGCAATCCAAATGCCTTTTTTTTCTCTTTTTTTTTTTTTCGTTTTATTGTCTTTCATTTTTTGTTTTTTATTTTGCGTGTTGCGGTTTGTATGTTAGGGGCGATGTGTGCGCCTTTCATTGATTTGTTGCCTCCTCAGCAGGACTGAAGCGTGAATGCGTTTTTTGCTCAGTTTTCAGTGCGCTTTCATCAACACACCGGAACCCAGTCCACCACCAATGCCCGACTTCGCAGAGCATCACACCCTAAATTGGACAATTTTGGCGGCCAACCGATCAACCGATCATTGGATCAGTTCATCGGCTTGCCAACAAATCTGTCCGTACTGAGGTGCACTGATCAACCTTGTAATCACATTGGCAACCAACGACCGTTCCAAACAATCAAACAATCAGCACGAAAAAAATGACATTCACACCAAACAGGAGAAAGCGTGATTTGAGGAAACGCATCGTCATATTCCAACGGGACACAGCGTTCCATTGCTGGACTCCGTCCAAGTAACACACTCGCAGATGATCATACTTGCCATCACATTGCCAAACAACGACCGTTCCAAACAATAAACCAATCAGCACGAAGAAAACAACATTCACACCAATCACGAGAAAGAGAGATTTGAGGAAACGCATCGTCATATTCCAACGAGACACACCGTTCCATTGCTAGACTCCGTCCAATGAACACACTCGCAAAACCTTATCGAAATCGGACTGTCGTTTTCAAAAAGAGTAATAAAAGGCGCCGCTCGTCATTCCTGGCGCAGACCAGCCATCGCATTGACTTCACAATGCACCTTCAAATACCCTACCATGCACGTGCGGCGGGGCGAAACGGGGCGAAACACTGTGCACGTGCGGCGGGGCGAAACGGGAACACAATCTACGAAGGGGCCCTCGCGTGGCGAAACGCATCACTGCATGTTAACCATCTGCGCTCGTCGCCATCATCCCCCGACTTTGAACCCCCATGCAAGATCCCCCCCCCGCCGTCCAATCCACCCCCCGCCTATCCAGCACTTCCATTTCCCGCCATGTCCAAACCTTAATGACGAACCGCTTCACTCCGCGGGCGATACCTTCTTCCTTGTCATGCAAGACGACCATATCGGGGACTCTTACGCTCCCGTTTCGTCTTTTGTACCGTCCTCCTTCTGATCGCCTTCAAAAGGTCCCGTCCCCATCCAGTCCACTCTCGCCGCGACGTGACCAGCGTTGCAGTTGTACCGCAATCCGCATGAAGCCCACTCCGGGATGTAGTCAGGGAAAGTGCCCAGCGTCAACGGTGGCTTCCGCAGGCGACTCAAGACCACGTTCGCCGAGTGCATCACATGGCGGCGCCAGTTGAAGGACGATGAACACGCCGCCACGAGAGTAGGCTTCGCCACCAGCTGCGCGTAGTAAGACGCCTCCTCGTAGGAGCGTGCATCGTCGCCTCCCATGCGCATGACCCACATGCACGCGGCGAGAAGCAGGCGGAAAGCATCCCCGATTCTGCTCAGTCTCTGGTGTGACAATCTACCGCCGTCCCACCACTGCCTGTCCCGGAGCGTGTCGTGGAAGAATGACGCAGGATGCATCACAGTCGCCTCCTGGTGCGCGGCCATGTCATCGTCCTCCGTCCTGTTCTCTATATACGCCCCGGCGAACCACACTGGGATGTCCATCTTCAAAGCGACCGTGTGGTAAACTACGGCGGGCGGCACTATCCTCGACCACTCCAAGCTCTGCCAAACTGCTCTCGCCAGGTCGGTGGGGTAATCTGTGGCAACGTAGGACTCCGTGCGGGCGAAACCATCGAACCTTGAAGACGATCTGAATATACACCCGTGGATGACGTGCATTGCCACGTTCTCCGTTCATCTCGCCCGTCTGAGAGCTGGCTCTCGTTGCGCGCCATCTTCGATCCGCACGCGCGGGACTTCGGGGGGCGGCATCATGAGGCCTTGCGGAGCGCCGGTGCCTGCATCTCCATTGACGATCGCGCAGAAGTAGTCCGCACAGGAATGCACCGCGTCCGCGATAATCCGTCTGGGGCCGGTTGCCCAGAACGCTTCGCCGTCTACCCACAGCTTCGATTTCGCCTCCAACTCCTCCTCTTGGCGGGACCTTTTCTTCCTCGCGCTCAGAGGCTGGTCGTCCTCTTCTTCCCCAAGCGGACTGTCCTCCCTCCTCTCATGTTTTCTCCCCGCCTCTTCCACCCTCCGATCTTCTCGCCTTTCTCCACTACCGAGGGCGGCGGCATGGCCAGCGGCGCTCGCTGCTTGCGCAGATTGAAGCACAGCCCTCGACGAAGCGCCGACGATCGTCGGGTTCGACGCCTCCACGTGGCGCGATGGAGACTCACCGACCGGAGCTTTATCGCCGTGCTCAGACACGGATGCGATGGTAGATGCAGAACCCACGACCCTCTGCGGCGGAATGTCACCGGACAGAACTCCTTGCGCACGAGCCGTCCCGCCACCGCCACCGCGTGTGGACGTGAGGACGCCAAGGTTGGTGAGCGCAAGCATACGCTGCCCGCTCACACCGTCTCGCCCGAACCCGAGCGCAAGCGTCCCTGCAGAAGTGATGTCCATAGGCGTCCCCTCCTCTCCCCCATCACCCCCCATCTCGCCTTCCGACCCGTCTCCCGCGCGGAGCTTTTTCGACTTTGGGACGTGGCCCCTTCTTGTTTGCCCTACACCTGCTTCGCCGGAACCACCGTGTGGACGTTTCGCCTTCTGCTGGCCACATGGTGCCATTCATTGATGGTCGGATGCGCACGCCCCGTGAACGAAAGCGGACTGCCACAGCTCTTGAGAGGAAGTCACCAGGGATCATCTTGCGTGGGCAATGTTCAGCTCCCCGCGCAGCACAACGGAAACCCCACGCGTGGCCTTGCGCGCAGTCGAGAGCCAAAAGACATGGACAAGATAGCGCTCGCGCGGACCTTTATAGTGCTCGCGGTGACATTTCCCCTCCCTTGGCGCGCGGATCCCGCCAGACGGCCTCCAGCACACCCCTCCACGGAACGGCAGCGACGATCACCCATTCCGCATGCGGGCAGACCATCCCAAATACCAAGGGACAGTGCGGTCCAGGGAATGGACGGCCCTGCCTTGGAGGGCCAGCGACTCAATATTTTGCAGCGCGCGAGGGTACACGACCATCGTGCACACCATCCCCCGCCTTGTTTCCTGGATTTCTGTCGTTGTCGGAGGAGCGGCACCACATTTCGCCACGGGCCAGTTCGCGGGCGAATCCACCACAACGGCTTAACAAACCTCACGCCACCGGCGTCAAGATCTGTACCTTATCGCTCTGGCAATCTCCATCAACGCCTTGCACATCATCCTGTTCGCCTCATCGGACACCGTGTAATGCCTCTCCAGTATGTCACATTGCCGCTTCTGGGCTTCAACCTCCCGTTCCAAGATGTCACACTGCAGCTCCAGGATGCTACACTGCCGTTTGCTCGCACCCTCTACCGTGTCCGCCATCAATGCACCGTGTTTGTCCATGACTTCAGCGATGGCGTCGAAGGTCTGCTGCCGCATGTTCTTCCTCTTCGCTGGAGTGTCCGTGCTCTCTGCACTGAACCCCGACTCCCGCGCTGAACCCACATCTTCATCGACGCCATCACCCCCCTCTCCACCAGCAGAGGACTCTCCACCAACGGCCACCTGGCGATGACCATCCATTGCTGGCGGCACTCCTCCACGGGCGCTCGTGTCTGCCACGTTGTCCGGGTAGATGGTCTTGTTATTTTTCAACATGTTATCGATCTCATTGAAGACTCGCTCATCCATTCGGAAGTTGAAGCCCTCGTCCGCTCTCGTTGCAGGAGTTAATGTGAAGAAGTTCTTCCCACTGGACATGTTCTGGTAACGCTGCACCTTCTTGTATTGCTGGAAGACGTTATCCCACTTATTCTCGATGTCGTTCGTTGCCCTGTTCACTCCGACCTCCGCCAGCCGCTTCTGTAGGTCCAGCATCTTCCACTCCCTGTTGCGCATGCGGCCGTAGTTGTGCGGCATGCCCTCGAAATGAGCTTGCTGATCCCACTTCGCTCGAGCGAGCTTCAGCATCTCCTCCACACTCCAAGCTGGGTGCTTGCCACCCTTGTCGCCCACAGGAGCCTTCAATCCTCGGCCACCACGCGACTCGCCCCTCTGCTGACGTCCGCGTCCTCCCCTCCGCCCACCACGCGCAGACACGGGTCGGATCTCCAGCCCCTCACTGTCTTCCGCGTCGTCTTCATAACGGGAATCCGGAGACTCGTCCCCACTTGCCCGACAGCCGCCGTCCGCATCCACGTCGCTCCCCACGCGCAGCCTGGACACACCGGTGGTTATGTTCTCCGCTGCAGCACGCCGCATCTGTAGGCGGCAGTTCTCCCATGCCTGCCTCCCGATGTCTTCCGGTGGAGTCCCATCATTGATTGCAGCACTTGCGGTCGCCCTCTGCTGCATTGGAGGCGAAGACACCGAGGGGCGGGTGGGTGTCACTGCCCTTGACGACTCGCCAAGTGGCCCGGCGCCCATGGAACTCGAGACCGGTGGACGACACCCATTCGTCGATCCACCGACACGGGACGATCCTCCTCCGAACGTCGGCGCTCCCACCACCCCCCCGCCGTGGATCGGACCACTTGCACCACTCCTGCTGCACAATCCGAAATCCAAGTCCACAAGCTCCGTGGCGGCGTTGTCGACACCCTCGTCCAGCAATGCGGTGAACGACTCGCTCGTGGTCCCTGCTTCCCTCTGCTGGCACTGCCTGCTCGTGCAATCCTGCGTAGATCCACTTCCCAGAGGAAGCGTGTGCAACAGATCCTCAACCCAGACGTCCTCCGGATATGGCGGCAACGGCTGCTCGTGCGTTGGAAGATGACTGTACAAGGACGGGTCATATGTGGCGGGTCGATGGCCGGACAGGGGCCGATCAGGAATGGAGAAATCCATCACACGTCTTTGCTGTCCGACGGAGCTGTCCTGTCTGTCCATCGTCGTCTTCCTATCCACTTGTCGTCTATGTCTACGCCCAAGAGGCCGCGGCACGACGAAGGCGCGCAAAAAGACGAGAAGAAGCAGCAGAAGAGTTGCTAGTAACAGGAGCGGTAGCCGCCGGAAGATGTCTGCCATGAAACGCACCACGTGTAGATGACCAGGACAACCACCACGCACGCACGCGAATGGCAGCAAACGGGCCGGCCGGCGACAACATAACACCCCGCACATAAAACAATTTTCGAAATATTCGACCGTTGGACACGACGCCCGACGAAGCGCAGAAGGAGAACCCCACCGCTCCGACGTCTGTCGCACCCAAAGCGGGACCCCCGGCCATGTACACGCGAACGGTAACACCACAAGGCCGTTGGTGACCTCCCGCCGGTTGGAAGCCGATATTGTCTACCCGATGGACCACAGACGTCATGTGCACCACCAAAAACAGAAACTTTCTGTGTCGACGCACGCTCAACGACGGCCCGTCTATCGCGGATCCTTGAGCCCAAGGGACCTCTCGAGGACCCCTTGAATCCAAGGACGCAATGGCTGGGGATTCCAAGGGACCCAAGGAAATCTCTTGGGAGCGTTTTCACATTTTTTCAAGGATTTTTGTTTTTTAGGACGCGGTGTAACCATAACTTTCGACATTCCTGAGGATTTTCAAGGAGGGTCTAACGAGGCCCATAGTAATGTAAAAGAAGGAGGATGACGACGAAAAATACGCAGATGTAAATCCCAAACGCGCCTGTTGAAAAATATTCAATAAAGTTTAGCGGCTAGGACCCGACGTTTCGGCCGACCGCCTCCGGCACTCCTCAGGGGTCTTGGTCGCGGAAGGTAGTGACCACGCACTACTACCTTGCGTATTGATCGGAAGGACCAACCACAGGGAATTAGTTATAAGCGATACAGACCAATATTCGAGCCGCCATCCTTCAAAACCTAATAGAACTATAGACCCTACCGAATTACCTCAAAAAAACGTAGACACCCACGCATTTTGCAATATCAGTCACCTTCGTCCTAAAAAACTTCGAATCCACCCTTATTCTCCAGGATCATTCACGCTAAAAAAATAGCCCTTGACCTCTAGCAGCCTCCCAGTCGACGACTTAGACCGCCGTCCCTCTGACCCTATGGCTGCAGCCTCCTACAAACGAACCATCTTTTTTTTTTTTTTTTTTTTTTTTTTTTTTTTTTTT